GTAGTTTGAAATCTGAAGAGCCGCGCACACGTCGCGATTCACCTGTCGAGCTTGCTAACTCAACTTCTTCACGCTTATTTCTTTCGTACCATAGATTAAAGACACTACGAAAGCACAGAACACCTAGGCGAATATTGGTGGACGATGCCTAGGCCACTGTTGTGTGCATTTCATTTCATCTCTTTATTCAGAGTAAAATATGAGAAATCTCATCCTGTCTTTTAATTAGAGCTGAATTTTCGAAAACGTCTCGAGTTAGTAGTCTAATATAAATAATGGATAGAGTACTTAGGCCGTTTCTGAATATCATCAATCGAATGGGCCATGGTTTTAGCACAGATTTTAGCCACCGTTTTTGATTTTTTTTTTCCCAAATGAGATTTTTTTCTTCTTTCGGTTCACTCTATACAGTGTGACCCACTTAATTCTAATGGAAACACTCCTGTATCCTACGTAATCGTTGGGTAAGGATCCTGAAATTTGCTGGAGCGAGAGATATACCTACCAAAAATGCACTCCATGACCAAGTGGAGTCAAAATAAGTCGAAAATCACTTCGGAAATTTTTAGTTCTGAAAAATTTTGTCGCACTTTCCACGGAAGCACCCCCGTATCTTACGTAATCAACTTTATCTTTGGACTTTCCCTTCCTCCTGCAAATTTCAGAACCCTACCTCAATAATTACGTGAGATTACGGAGGTGCTTCCATGAGAAGTAAGACGAAATTTAATTTTTCTGGATTGGAAATTTTCTAGAAAAGAATATTTAGGGAATTGGGCGTCCTGATTCCGAATCCAGAGTGATTTTCAACCTATTTTGACTCCTAATATCATTTTCCGGAAATTGGGGGGGTTCCATGACTGTTGGCGAGCAGTGTATATCACTGAAGATGACCCCACTTGGTCATAGAGTGCATTTTTGGTATATATCTCGCTCCAGCAAATTCCAGGATCATTACCCAACGATTACGTAAGATACAGGCGTGTTTCCATTAGAAGTGGGTCACACTGTATATTCTCCTATCGTCTTTCATCGACCTTCAGAAAAAGGCATGGAAACAGTTCTTCCCAATATTCAGTTCGAGTTGAGATCTGGAGAAAAATGTCAAGAAATACAAGACTTGAAAAAAATCATTAGTTTTGTTCAAATGGCGCATTAAGGAGAAATCATAAATTGGCGTATTTGTCATCCCAACATGACAAATACGTCAGTTTGCATCAAGGGACCCTAGAAGTCCCAATGGATCATTGAGTTTTATAGTCAAAGAGCCAACTGCAAATTTCGAGCGTCATCTGATAACGACGGCTCTTGTGCCAATCACTATCCTGAGCGAAATGATTGAAAAATCGCACTTTCCTATGCGGTATCTTGCACTCAGTTTCGCAATTTGATAACGAGATGAGAATTGAAGACCTTGGTGCAAGAACTGGGCAAGTCCACATTTCTTAAATGTTGGGAAAATAAAAAAAACTTTCCCATTGAGGAATAAATTGAATAAAATACATAAATTAATGGGTTTTATGTAAAATAGATTAGATTATCTTGAAAAATGAGTAATATATCCGCCGTTTCCATATTGATAAAGTTAAATGAAAATTTTGGACTAGCCTGTTTCTTGCATCAAGAAATTATTTTTTTCTGTGACGGGAAAAAAGTTTGGCATTTCATGCCTGTTGGCAGGTTATGAAATGTCACTTTTCATAAATTACTTTTTTCCCGTGGGAAAAAAGTGAGTACTTCTTTCCCGGATATATATCACATATATATACACTATTGATGGCTTTTGTTGTGCTATAGTTCCGAAAAATGAGTCAATAATACCGTCTCCGAGAAAGAACTGCAAGTTCTTTTATCATCCATTCGACTTCGCGGTTACGTATATTGCTAAATTACCACTGAATTCGCAATTTCTTGAAATAAAATCACAAAATTAGACTGACAGAAGTGACATCAGATATTTGATTACTTCAAATGAATGATGAAGATGCCTACAAAGCGGTGTCCCTACTGTTAAAAACTTAAAATTTCACGTCGATAATTTTCAGATATCAAAATAATGTAATATCTTCTCAATATTGATTCGTTATTTCTTTTGTCACAGAAAAAAATAGTGTATTATACACGGGAAAAATATAAGATTTTAGCTCACGGTTTGTTGTCTCCCTCCGCTACGCGTCGGGAGACAACACAACCTGGAGCTAAAATCTACTACTTTTTTCCCTTGTATAATAAATAACTATATTATTCGTAAAAATTAACACTGTTTCATTCTTAAATTAGTGAAGAATCAGTTTGGTGGTTCTCATTCTCCTCAGACGTTTCGGACTCCAGGTTGTTTTGTCGGCAAATAGTGTGTGGGGGTGCTTTCATGAAAAATGCGACAAAATTTCATTTTTCCGAACTGAAAATTTTCCAGGAAAAATTTGAATAGTTAGTAAATTGGGCGTCCTGATTCCAAATCTGAAGTGATTTTCGACCTATTTTGACTCCTAACATCATTTTCGGGAAATTGGGGTAGTTTCATGGTTGTTGGCGAGCAGTGTATATCACTGAAGATGGCCCCACTTGGTCATAAAATGCATTTTTGGTATATCTCTCGCTCCAGCAAATTTCAGGATCCTTACCCAACGATTACGTAAGATACAGGGGTGGTTCCATTAGAAGTGGGTCACACTGTATGAATCTTGAGAAGCAGCTGAGACATATTTTTGGACCAAACTCTTGCATCCCCTCACTTTTTTATCGTTTATTGCTAGATTATTTTTGTAACAATCTTCTGTTGGCAGAGACAACTGACTTTGTGTACCAGTCTTGATCATAGTTAGAGTTGAATAAATAGTAAGCCCGGCAGAGCTGAGCGTTGAATGAAGCTATTAATTATTTTCATTATATTTCAAGGCTCTGTGACTTGAGATTGTAAACTTCTCAGTTTTGCAGTTTACCTACCACATAAATATGTGAAACAGATTTTTGTGTTTCTTCACCAGTCCATTGACGTCTACGAGCTATTGGTTTTGACGAAATTAGCCCAGCAGGTGAATATAGGTCTTCACTCAGAGAAATAGTCGGTAGTGAATACCAAACGTTTAGTAAAATAGGCGCCAGTCACTACATTCATCAAATATTACCACAACAAAAATGTATCATACTAGTTTGTAGTGGTAACATTTGATATAGTCTTCACCACTATACGCAGTTCGGAGCAAGAGTCAGGCATGTCCTCGACTTGCCTATTTCCTGAGACAAATTGTTTGAACGGGCAAGTCCTCTGCCATTATATTTCTACTAATATGCCACAGACTTGCCTGATTCTTGCACCAAAAGATGCGCAATTCCAATTTGTATGGGTTGACATATTTAACTCATTTCATGAGGAAAATAAAATTAGATGGAAGATCTCGAAAACCTAGCTGACCCACCCCTCAAATCCAAGGCACAACGATTCATTCGCTGCCATTACTCCGCGGACATACTTTCGTCATGTGATAATAAGTAGAAACAAAAAGCGAATGAAAGGGGATAATGTCCCCTTTGCGAATATCCAAACGTTGAATTGAATTGAAATTATAAAAATTCCATAAAAACATGCACTCGTATATTCTCTTACCTATACCTAATAGCTATACCAATATATTCTACGTACTATAGGAATTATAGGATAGTAATATATAATCAATATATTGAGTAGATGGCAGCACAAACCATGCATAGCATGCAGCGTAAAGATTTTCTTTTTGAGTCAACAACACGTGTATGTCTGCGAGTATACTGATTCTAACAATCTCTAACGTGACTCATTCATAAGATGATAATAATACGCTAGTATCTACATAGTATATAGATAGTAGTGCATCATCTCATCAAAGAGAGTAAAAATAATATCACTCTCAGTGGTGATCTCATTCCAACCTAAGTAAACTCTGTGTCCCAAACTGGTGATGGATGTACGTACACAGATAACCTCACTTATTGCCTCAGCTCTATGCTCGGCTCTATGGCTCTATCTCGGACGAATACATTTCTTTTGCTCTATTGACAAGATGTTGTTGAAGAACAGTGTTCCATTAATCGTTTCATCAACGTGATCAAACTGGCCCATGCCAGATGCTATGTGTCATCACAAAAAAGAACTTCAATGTAGTTTTAGGTATAGGCGCCACAAAGCATTTATAAAATCGGTAGGTATCATCGCTCGTTACGTTCACGGAATAGTGATTTATCACACCAAATGTAATCACCATGATTAATGTCATCCAAGACTTACTCCAAAACATAATAGCATAGGAGCCAGCGACAATTTTCAATGTCTTATTTGATAAAACTTGTTTAATAGTTTTGTCTGTTGTAATGAACCTATCAACAAAATTCACTCCTGCCACCCCAATCGCGAGACAACGGTTATCAGCAGCTTATCAATGTTGTAAAAAAATCGAATAAATGTCAAACATGTTGAAAGCTGGAACTTTACTTAACGATCAATGACATATCAGTTAGAAAAATAATCATCTTCTGTCACCTGTTTCGTAGAACGATGTACTCCTGCAATAATGGACCTAATGATGTGAAAAAAAAGTGTCCCAGAACAACGTATCATAAATTCTACAAGGTGAACTACAGACCTGTGAATAGGCCGATCGAAATAAACTCACCTTAATTCATACGAAAATGTACCGTTGATGAGCCGTGAGAGGGCACTGAAGAATAATTTTATTTCCAGATTTTTTTAAATATTTCAAATTTAAAAGCATTTGACCTTGAACAACGACAAAAGATTCGCCTGCGGCGCTTTTTAGCTTTCTCTCATCCCCGCACCACGAATTACCCCCCCCCCTGAAACGAAGCTGTATACGCGCCTGGTTGTTGACCTTCTTGAAGTGTGTATTTTTCAGCGACAATAATAAGTTCTACAAACACCTCGTATATGTACTGTTCATTGTTTAATCTCATTTCTATAATCCATTTTCAACAGGTGTCGTTAGGTTATCATAATAACATTCAATCTCTGATAAGTATGGAATGAACATTAACATACAAAACACCAAGACACACACTCATAGTTTTTATTTGCAGTAAATATAAACAAATACACATACTCGTATTTGAATCTTCAACTGTACTTTCATACCTACATCTTCCAGTTTTGATGCAAAACAAAGATTTATAGGTATATTATGTATCTTCAACAAGCGCACATCAGATTTCTGATATGACTGGTAAATAATAGCTAATTATCAGAAACTGGATAAAAATAATCTGTCGATATAAAATCGAGGCGATATATCTTCGAAGCAATACATCAATACCATTAGTAAGCGAACATGAAGTTTTCTCAGTTGACGATAGTGGCTCTTGTATTGATTGGATGCGAAAGCTATATAGAGAAACCAGGACCGAGGTACGTGGCAACCAAAGGAGAACCATGGCCCAAACCACAGACGCAGATCAAGAATGACGCATACTTCGTTTTGCGTCCACAATTTTTCGAATTTCAAGTAAGTAACTTATCTAATTGGAGGAGAGATAACGAGTTAATTGAAGCTACCAGGGTTCACCAAAAGTGAGATGTTTATAATTAATACGGTGTTTTTGCGCTGATGCGGTTTTGTTTGGGACAAGATTCTTCTACCGCAATGATAATAAACAGTTGAAAATCGCAATATAAGGTTCTTATCTGTCCATGGGGTCTGGTAACGTCTGGACTCCCCCAGAGCTGTCTGAAAATCCGAAATAACAATTCTAATAATGGAAAAATAGACATGAGTATAGGAGTAATTTGTTAGAACTCCGAACGAATAGCGGAGGCTAGACCCTATGTAAATACAAATATGAATTTTACTTGATTTTTGGAAATATGCGTATTATTTCAATATAATATAGGGTTGTCAAAAAAAAACCGGAATTTTGTTTTTGAATAATAACTTTTTTTTTTTCATTGATTTTGGTCTTGTTCGAAAGATAATCGAACGAGACATAACGTCAACTCCATATTTTTTCAAATTTTGCCAGGAAAGAAAATGGCGGACACGCCTAAGCTTGGTCAAACTTTTAAACTTGCTGGAACTTTTTTGAGTCACACTGTATATTTTTGCGTATGATATTCTGAAAGCGCGAACTTTTCTGAATAGAACAAGATGTCGAACATTCAAATCCGTCAAAAAATGACTGATACATGACTGAATAAATACAGGTGTATTGTCACATTTTGATTCCTATTTTCTTCGCGATTTTGCATATTTATGAAAAAGGGTGCAAATGATGTCTAACCTGGAGGAAATGGAGCTTCTTTTGGTGTAATTTGATATTGATAAGTGGTTTCTGCTTAGCAGGAGTGCCTTATTTGGCTAGATACGGGTAATTGAAATGGCCAAAATTACTGATTTGCAATAGAAACACCGGGTTTTGTATTCGCTTAGTGAGGATCAAGGTATTGGTTGCCCAGCAACCAATGCGCCAAAAATCTAAATTTCCGTGAATTTGTTGATTACGGGGGTTTCGCTTATTTCTTTCCATTCCACTATAATGTATTCTTGGAACAATAGGTTTCACATCAAATTTGTTTCTTTTTATTGCGAAATCACATAGATAAACAATGATTAATCAATTTATTCTCCAGTTCCAGAAATAAACGACAAAATAAAGAAGAAATACATATAGTTTACCTACTTACACTATTAATGAATGATAATCAGGTATAGGTACATAAATTATTCAGAAATTGTTGAACAAATACATGATTACCTATTTTAAATGTAAACCCGCGAAATGCTGATAACCTATCTTCTTGATTAAATCAGAATATAAGTGGTTTTCGTTTATGAAGTAGATAGGTAACCGATAATTAAGTAGGTCATTTATAGAATATGTAGATCTATATCAGACAAAAAACAAATATAGGTATGTACAGTGTGTCCAGTTTTCAATGCATATGCGTGATATCTCAGTTATCTTTCGAGATAGAACCTTCCGGTTCTCGTGGTCCTGTGCCACTTTTTTGTGAAACTCAAGATGGCCTAATCAGATTTTGCATAACTATTTACGTTTATGAGATTCAGGGCGATTTTGAAAATTTATACTTTTTGGACCCCCTCTATATCTACGAAGTTTCCCAGCGGAAATGTCAAATTGAAATCTTATCCCATGCAGAATGTTGCGCAGAATCCAGTGGCGCACTCAATTTTTTTTTCGGGGTATGGTTTCGGAGATACGACTCAAATTTATAATGTTTCAAATGAAACACCCTGTATTTCATGAGCTCATTAAATTCCTTATTTTTTTTCCATCAAAATGAAATGATTATGATGTATAAATATAAAATTGTCAAAAATGCTCCAAAATCACTAGAACATTGAATTTTAATAGTGGGCAATGGATTTTTCATTTAAAAAAAGTTACAATTGGAGGACTATTCCATCTGATTTTTCTATGAAAAGGGCAAAAACAATCCCAATACTAGTTGACTAAAAAAACACAAAAATTAGGTACCTGGTATCAACAAATAAATAGTATAAAAAAGTTCATAATATAGAATAAGCACCTGATTGAATATTCACTAAGACAATTGAATTTCGAAATTAATCAGTAACTTATTCGTTGAATTGTTCAAATTATGTCCACTTTCCCTCACACGCTTTCTCAATACGTCTTAATGCATTCAAAATCATTGAAGGATGTCTTTGTAATTGCTGGAAAACTGCCTCTGTTGTTGCACGAAGTTTTTCAAGATTGTTGCCTCTTACTGTATCAAGACGTATTGAGAAACTGAGTCAATTGTGTGTTATGGAAAATGGACATCAATTTGAACAATTCAATGAATAAATTATCATTGAAAAATTCCGAAATTCAATTGTTTTTGTAAATATTTAAGTTGGTGCTCATTCCACATTATGAACTTTTTATTACTATTTATTTGTTGCTATCAGGTACCTAATGTTTGTCTTTTCTTGGTTAATTAGTGTTGGTATTGTTTTAGTCCTCTTCATGGAGAAATCAAAATGAATATTCCTTCAATTGGAACTTTTTTTATATGAAAAATCCATAGCCCACTATTGAAATTCAATGTATTAGTGATGTTGGAGCATTTATGAAAATTTTATATCCATACATTATATATCATTTTGAAGAGAAAAAATTTAGGAATTTTATGAGCTTATAAAATACAGTGGCTTCTACACTGCACATTGAATGTTTTTTGCACGATTATGTCAAATAATACGAAATGCAAATGAAAATATGAAGTCTAACGCTCAAAAACGAAATGGTGAATGAATTATTCTTTGCATAATAATCCAGTCATGCAAAAAGTCGCACTTGAGTGATATATAGGAGTTAGGCAAGCCAAGGTTAGTTTATTTCATTGTACCAGTATTTCACCTATTTCTATTCTATTCTATTCTATTCTATTCTATTCTATTCTATTCTATTCTATTCTATTCTATTCTATTCTATTCTATTTTCTATTATATTCTATTCACCTCATGAAGCTACTGTGTTTGCGAAACATGTCGTGTGATTAAGAATTTTGTGGAAATTGTTTGTGAAGTTTTTACATTTACCTATTTTCCACTTTAAAGCAAACAAACCCTATTGAATATAGTCCAATGATAATCACCTCTTTAGGATACGCGTCTGATGAACATATAACAAAATTGGAACTTGAAAATGAGGTAAATGAAATTTAGGTTGGCTATATATCCCAAACCACCTTTACTAATTAAGTTTGAAATATTTTCAATCTCTTTTTCGTTAAGTAGAAAGTACTCATGAAAGGAATTTGGGAAAATGATGGCTCATCAGCATCAGCACCGGTTTTTGTGTGTATTTATAGGTTTTGTTTTTATATTATGGTGCGATATATGTTTAATAAATCAAATTAATTATGTGTGAAACTACAATTATATTGTAATTATTCATAAATTCTATAACTGTTCATTACTACTAGTTTATAAAATATATGTATACCAATACTTTTTGGAAAGCATTTGAAGATCTCTATCTAATAATCATAAGATATTCGAATGCCTCAAACTCGTTTAGATTCATAGGTTTTTAATTTGTTGAAGCTATAAAAATGTTTTTTGATAAATACTGATCCAAGATTTTCGATGTAATTTCTTTTGAAATTGGGAACTTATTACTAATCAGGAATACATTTCGTTAGAAATCAACTAATGAAAAACATTCTAACACCTTACTTAACGATCAATTATAGACTTCAACAATTCACCGCTCTCAATTTGGTTTGTTAGTAGGTACCAAGTAAGTATTCGCATAATAATTATTTGCATCATTCCTTTCAAGTTACCAGAAGTTACCGTAACATCTTCGATCGTCACACCAAAATTGTATGTAGATTATGCCTCCCTTCCCCTGGATCATGTATTGAAAAAATAAATTTATATTCCTGTCTGAACATCAAAAGTGCACTTTTGAATCTGAAAATTTCAGTATCTAAGTGTTTTGCTAATTTCTCATGTCTGCAATATTTATTCTCATGATAGATTTCCGAAGCCGACTATATTTTTTTGGTTTTTTTTCCCACGGATATTTAGTATCACACACGTCAAAAAGCTAATGCATAATGGTTTATTTTTTTCAAGGGTGTTATTCTCGACATTTCTAAAAAACGCGGTACTGCACCGAAAAAATAGGTATTTTCCGAAATTTTCATGACATAGTAGATTCTTCATAACTGAAATTATATTCGAAATTAGTCTATCAGCAAGCAGGGCAGAAGTAAAAAATTCAAATTCAGAATTCAATACCTTTTATACAATCTCTATATCAACATCAAGTTTTCAATATCACTCACCCTTATATCAGTGATGATAGCACAAAATATCCCAATGGACGTTGATTCATCGTTAGTTGAAGTTTTTCAACGTTTTCAATTTGATTATGACCATATAACGATATAAACGTGATTATCTATAACGATTCGTTGATATACTTATTGAAAATACCTACGCATTTTTCAACATTAATACAACTTTCGATTGAGAACGCTATTATAGTCAACCATTCCTCAACGTTTCTTCGACGTATACAGGGTGTCTATGAAAAATCAAGTTCTACGCCTATGGATTAATATCGGACAAGATTTAGCACAATTTTTTTGCCACATAAAACTCTTTCAATATACCAAATTTCAGCAAAATCGCATATGCCGTTTTAAATTTATATGGGAAAAACGATTTAAGATTGTAACTTCAAGGCCCTCTGGAGCCCAAACGATGCAACTTTGTACTAAGGTAATTTTACTTAAATCGACTTATTTTGGTTAAAGGAATATGTGGTATGTTTTTGTAAACACCTTTTACAGACACCCTGTATATACACTCACCGGCAAAAAAAAACCGGTCACCAAATAATTTAGCCAAATTGTTCGCTCTGTAACTTTTTTAATTCTGGTCCGAATTTGGTGACATTCCGACTAAATCGTAGATTCATGTTTCGAAATGTTTATTTGTCGGTTTATTTTGCCGGTGAGTGTAGAATGAAAAATGAAAATATTTCGAATCTATGGTCCTAAAATGTACTGAAATATGTAAGCTGGTGATAGGTCGTGCAAAAAAAAACTACCTATTCGAAGGCATCTCCCCTCGATCGAAAAGTACAGGGTCTACAGGTTTTCGTTTTATAGGTGAAAAATAATGCTAAGTGTACTCTCCTTCACGATGCAGTCCTCAGATATCAGAGTATCATCTCAGGCCTCTACGAGTCTGTTGATGAAAATTTGAAATTCGTCAGTCATCAGCACCACAAAAAAGAATGGCTTTCGGACAACAATTTCATAGGCCACTTGGAATCGGCGGTTGTCAATTTGTCGGGTTCTTGTGATGACAACGACTATCCCTCTCAAGATATGAAGGAAAATTGTGAGTATAAATACACAATATATACAAAATAAAAATATTATGTGTAGCAGTATGAATCATATGATTTGCCCCAAAATGTCACAGCGTCTAACATATTTTTCTATCAGGGAGCCTAACTTTCTGTAACTCATTTTTATACTAACATCATCGCTCATCATCCATATGCCAACATCAGTATCACACTGCGAGAAGTGCCAAACTATAAGAACAGAATTATCGAAAAAAAAAAAGTATTATTATGTTGAGAACGGGAGCAGGTTCTTCACATATAAAACAGTACGAACTTTGAATATGGAATTAATTCATTATTATCCCCAAAATCTAAAATATTTTCAAAATCCTTGGACAGGTCAATAAGTATTTAAATTTTCAACGGCTCCGAAGAGTAAAGTCACCCCAAAAGTAAAAAATTTTCACTTATAATATCACGAGCTTCAATTATTTCCGGAAATTTTTTCGAGAACACGAATTTTCGTAATATTCGTGTTCGAGAAAAAAGCCCGTATATTATTTGAAGCTAAAGTGGTATTCGGTAAGAAAATTTACATGTTGATGGTTGTTTGTGATGAAATGTAAGAACTAATAACGTATAGTAACAACATGTGTTTATGTAAATTTCGAATTTGCAAGATAAATGATTTTTATTTATTGACTTATAGAATGAACTCGAAATAATCTGAAGTTGAATATAAATGTCATTTAACCAATAAATGTAAAAAAATTTCCAGTGTAATTTCATGCTCCGTCCCCCTAGGAGCAGGAAAAATTTCCAAGAAATGTGTTTAGTTGCTATGGTAACGATACGAAATACAGGCTTTAAAGTTCAAATTATTCGAAAATGTTTGGTGTGAAATTTTCACTAAAATATATACATACGTACGGTGCAATGGTGATTTGTCGTAAAACCCCAGTTTGATTGGTTAAAAATTACTGGTGTGGAGTTTTCATCCAAAACAATATGGCGAATAATATTGTTTGAAATTTCATACTAGAATCCTTCAGACTAACGTGCTCTGCTATTTTTCTGGCAGAAAAATGTCGAGAGAACGCCATTTCTGAGGAATATTCTTCTATCATCCTTGCGTATGATTGAGAGTATATGAATATCCTATGATTATTCAGAGTGCTATGTGGGAATCTACTGGGTATGAATTTATGTATTGCATCATGATATCTCATTCTCCAAAACCCTCAATTTATATTTTAGATTCTATAAACATCACACCCGATAATGCAGAAATACAATCTTCAACGATTTGGGGTATTCTAAGAGGACTGGAAACATTTTCACAATTGATCTACATTGCAGACGATTACGTATCCGTGAGTTCAATAATTATTTTTTAAAATACTTCATAATATATTTGCATCAAAATATAGAGGGTCTCAAAAAAATAGACAGTAACCTATATCCACATCAGCCATACGTTGGCGTGAGGAATCGATAGTTTGTCTGTTGTTGTGAACCAAAAATAGTATATTATACAACTATAGGGTGTAAAGTAGGCTATTCTGGACCTGGCTATATTAATATACAGGGTTATTCATCTTAAAGGTCCACCCCCTATATTCACCCAATTTTTCCATCGAGAAAAAAAAACAAAATGCGGAAGTGAATGCCGCAATGACGCTTCTCCACAGCTCTTATCAAAAGTTTTACAGAGTGATCCCACAAATTATTTTTTTTAAAACGGAACACCCTATTCTTCATATTTTTTTCGGAATCTGTGATTTCTTGTGATCACAAAAATATATTGATACAGTATGATATATTTTATTTTTATTTCATTATCACCAGTTTCTTGACCCTATAAAAACAATTTTTTTTCTGTGACGGGAAAAAAGTTTGACATTTCATCTCTGTTGGTAGGTTATAAAATGTCACTTTTCATAAATTACTTTTTTCCCGTGGGAAAAAAGTGAGTACTTTTTTCCCGGATATATATCACATATATATACTCTGTTAATGGCTTTTGTTGTGCTATAGTTCCGAAAAATGAGTCAATAATACAGTCTCCGAGAAAGAACTGCAAGTCCTTTTATCTCCCATTCGACTTCGCGGTTTCGTATATTACTAAACAACTACTGAATTCGCAATTTTTCAAAATCAAATCACAGAATTGAACTGACAGAAGTGACATCAGATATTTGATTACTTCAAAATAATGATGAAGATGTCTATAAAACGCAGGTGTCCCTACTGTTAAAAACTTAAAATTTCACGTCGATAATTTTCAGATTTCGAAATAATGTAATATCTTCTCAATATTGATTCGTCCTTCCTTGTGTCACAGAAAAAAATAGTGTATTATACACGGGAAAAATATTAGATTTTAGCTCACGGTTTTTTGTCTCCCTCCGCTACGCGTCGGGAGACAACACAACCTGGAGCTAAAATCTACTACTTTTTTCCCTTGTATAATAAATAACTATTGTGTTATGGCAGGGTGTTCCATTTAAAAAAATTAATTTGTGGATTGTCACGATTTTAGGGATCACCCTGTAAAACTTCTGATAAGGGCTGTGGAAAGGCTCCTTAGCAGCATTCAACTTTCACATATGGTTTTTTTTTAATGAAAAATAACGATAATATATAAGGGTGGGCTTTTTCGATGGATAACCCTGTACATGCATAGTTACATGTACTTTGGATCAATATCACAGTTTAGGGAAATATGTAATATTCCCTAAAATGAGTCAATATTTAGGCCAAAATTGCTACGGGGCACAAACGTGAAAAAATGTAGATGAGCGTACATACTGCCAGTGTTCCTAGGTATTTTTTCATAAAATCATTCTGTACCTAGGTTGAAAATATGTTTTGCCACCACTAGCTATAAAACTACCATTATTTACTCCTTTTCGAGGCGTAAATAGTTATTTGTTTAACTAGGCAGCAAAGTAGTAGATTGACTGCCGTGGCTGAATTCATAGCCGAGCGTAGCGAGGCTAGGAATCCAGCTAAGGCAGTCAATCTACTTTGCTGCCGAGTTGAACATATAATTTTTTCTCCGATTGTTCATAATGATATGGGAGAATAATGTATTTGTGAATTAATACAATTCCCACAATCTCTTTATTCTTCCTGTATAGTGTTCAATTAAAATAAAATTTGATAGAAATCGCAGTTGTTGGTTTGACAATTCATGAAATTTCTGACAGTTGTGCGAGAAAATATCGGTATATTTAAATTATTATATGATGGACAGTGATAGCGACCTGGAAGTATACTTACACCTCCATTAATAAGGGAGGTGGCAAAAAATATAGAGTTGAATTTGTTGCCGGAGAAGTCTCGAATGAAATATGGAGGAAATTATAAACGATTTATGGATTTTTAATTTTGCTGATACATATCAATCAGCAAAGTAACCACTTTGCTGCCTAGGCAGGAAAAGTAATACTTTGCTGATTGATATATGTCAGCAAAATTAATATTTGCTGCCAATCGGAGGAAAATGTGTTTTTACTACCAGTTTTCGTCATTTTATGAACCACTAGTCAAATCTAGTAGTTATTCATCAATAACGACTTGTCATTATGCTGTCATCTTCATGGCTAATAGATTATAATTAGAATTGAAAAGAAGTGCTTTTATAGTGACAATAGGTTCATATTTCAGTTTCACAGAACTAAAATAATTCTAATGTATTGCTAGTGGTGAAAAAAATGCAATATACACCTTGGTAGTAAAGCATATATCATTACCACGGGACCTTGGCTGAAGCCTCGGAATATAATCTTGGTCCCATGGTAATATTGATATCCTTTACTACCTTTCTGATCAGATGCATTTCTTCAGAAATATAGATTCCTCAGGTTAGTCAGAGGGAAAAAAATTATGCACGATCGGCCGTAAAGAAGCACATTATTGCCCGGTTTTGCGGACTACATCTATGTCTTAGTTGTGATAGTACATTATCTAATATCACAGTGCTCTATATTTCTGAGATGCAAATGATCGAACCCAAAATAAGTTATATGTCTGATGACAGCAAATAATAGTCTACTCTTATTTCACGTTGATTCCATCAATAATACCTATTCCTCAATGAAATCATGATGTATTTCTATCGTACTCGAGAGGTAAAGAGTAACATAACATATTAGGAATTTCGGGCGTAATTTGCATTTTTCCACCACTAGCTATAAAGCTTACCATTATTTACTCCTTTTGGAGGAGTAAAGTGTGTTTTTACTACTAAGGTAGTTTTCGTCATTTTATGAACCACTAGTCAATAAAGGCATAGCCACCTGTGTTATAATTGATCCGAATTCACTGATCTGATCATATAGAGCACTCGAATCTAGTAGGTATTTATATCAATAGCGACTTTTCGTATGCTGTCATGATCATGGCTGAGATTCTCTGCTGAGATGTTTATAATATGGCTACTAGATTTCAATTGGAAGTGAGCAGGGCTTTCATAGGGACATTATGTTCATATTTCAGTTCCACAGAACTAAAATGATTGGAATGTACTGCTAGTGATGAAAATAATTTAATATACACCTTATTGGTAGTAAGAAATATTATTACCACGGGAATTTATATACCCCACGGCTGAAGCCTCGGGATATAAACTTGGTCCCTGGGTAATTCTGATATATTCTTTACTACCTTGGTGTATAAAACTATAACCAGCCCTCGCTCGGGCTCCTACTTACACGCTAAGGTCAATGAAAGCCTATTTTACGCCCTTGATGCATAAATAACTATTGTGTTCTCTTGAAAAGATTTGAACAAGGAGGTTTCATCGATGTAGGTACATTATTTATTTGATTTTCCTCAGCTAAGAATAAATACTACATCAATTTCGGATTATCCACGATTTGCTCATCGTGGCCTGTTGTTGGACACTTCTAGGCATTTTATTCCTGTTAAAAAAATGCTTGAGAATTTAGATGCCATGGCATACAACAAGCTCAACGTTTTCCATTGGCATATTGTTGACGATCAGAGTTTTCCATACGTCAGCAGAAAATACCCGGAACTAAGGTGCGTTTTTCAGATATTTTCGGATAAATGATCACTAATATAATATTGATTAACCTGAATATACAATAGGTATGTTATATTTCAGTGAACAAGGAGCATACAAACCCTCACAGGTATACACCCCTGCAGTGATGCAACAGATTGTGGAATATGCTAGAGTTAGAGGAATTCGAGTAATTCCAGAATTCGACACTCCAGGTCCGTAGATATAATAATAATAATAATAATCGACGCGTCCATGCCAAAACGGCACAAATGCCATCGAGTCAACTTTACAGGAGAGACTAAAAACTGATTAACTTCATTCGTAATTGCCACACAAGTCTGCTGGATGTCTTCAATGAAAGATTGATTTTTTTCATTATTTTTGATGAATATCTGATGAAGACTCTGATTCTCGCCCTCATGCAATAAATGAAAAATTGAAAAAATGGCGCTTGTGCCAGTCCACACTTGGTACAATGTGTTCATGCCAAAAGTGATACTGGCGTTTGTGTCATCGAACATTCAAGGATATGCCAAGTTAAAATTGATGTGTGGGATTTCTCATATGTGTCGTTTATGCCACCATGATGATCTACAAAATATTCCATTATAATGAAAGATTTTCATCTTGAAAATTATTATCATCATTGGAAAAATCATGTTTTGAAACTGTGAAACGATTGAAAAATTTCTTATTCAAAACTTTGGAACTATTGGGTATCTGATGAAAGAGTGAAGAGATCAAACAAACAAAATAAAATTTATTAATAAAATAAAAACTCAAATCTTATTCTGAAAAACTCAAGAGGGATAACTGGTTACATTGATGAAGATAAAAATTTGAACTCAATAATCATCAGTTTCTTGGTAGAAAAATACAGGAGAAGAAATCAAAAAGCCTAGTTCCCTATTCATGTGGTTCGTCTTCAATGTCGGTTTCCTCCAGATGAAACGGTATCACAATTCGGAATGTCATTCGAAACGCCACCTGGCAAGGAAAGAAACACTCCAAAACAATGTTTTGGTGGCGTTCGGCGTTCGCGTGTTCATTTCGCAGACGTCGAACGCCTCGTATGGTATAAATGCTGAGATGCGTTTACGTTGGGTCAGGTTCGCACCAGATAGCGGTCAAGAAGTTATCTGGGACAGCCCTGTCCTGATGAGAGCCAAGAGCTCGAAACCGGTCTGCAGGTAGTCAGAGTTCCTGAACCACTTAAGCGCAGCTCAGCGATTAGGAAGGAAACACTTGCGATTTTATTCGTTTATACGAACTATCGCATAGGTTTCGGGAGGATGTAATGCAATGTTCTGCGTGGCATATAGCCAGGAAAGTAGTTGTTTTTCTCTCGTTATCTACCATTGTCGTTCATTTTATGAACTAGTTGTGGTAATGACTTTGAGTTTCTCTCTTTGTAATAATAATAATATTTAACTTCTTTCAATGCCCAAACATATACAGGGTGGAGCATTAGTGTGAGTCGGAGCTCGATTGCTCGAGTTCTATAATAGCTAGAAACTTCATTCTAAGAATCACTGTAGTCACAATTATGAAATTTAAGAGAGAATAATCATATCTTTTGATGGAAACATGTGTGATATTTCTGGGAATACTTGCCCTTGACCCGTTATTATGTTCAAAATATTTTCATCAGTTACTCAATATTTTTAGCCAACCTACGCAGTGGCTGAAACTCGGGGGGGGGGGGTTCATTTAGGGATACATGTGAAGAAAAAGTCTTATTTTGATCTCAACAATGTATGTTATGCCCTCTTAAAGTGCAAGCAATCCTGAACCCACAATACGTGTGAACAACGATACTAATCAATTTGAAATTCAAATATCATTTCTCGAAACAAAAATATCCAGGGTGTATCTAAATAACACCGAAAAAATTCAAGGGGTGATTCTATTGAGATATTTTAGGAAATAAAGTTCATATAAACATGTGTCTTATCTTGCTTCGTTTTCGAGATACAGGGTATTTATATTTCCATGAAAAATGTTTTTTTTATTCATTTCTCAATAGTCTTTTCATCAATTTCAATATATATAGCGTTGTGTTTTTTCAATTGTAATATGGAGCTTCTTCTAGTGTAATTAGATTCGTAATAATCGAAATAATATTTCCAGTGGCGTCACAGTGGGTAAATTTATACACCACCGGTTTTTCTGAGTCTCATAGTTTTTATAGATTGAACTATTGAAATAATGACTTTTTTTATTTCCTGTGTAATTTTTGTATCAAGCTTAGTTTTTGAGGAAACAATAAAAATTCGATTTGACTCCAAATGTTAATGTATACAGAGTGGGCCTTTGAAAACGAAACAGAGGCTTTGTAGGTCGCCAAAACCGGATTATCAAAAAAACTGAAACACGTCAACTACATTTTCGAGGGGGATATCTTTCTAAAATATTTTCAGCCCTGCGGCGTTGCCGCTTCCAACGAAAAGAAGCAACAACTTTGTTATTTCAAATGGAACACCTTGTATTTTATTGCATTTTTAGATTCTCCCCGAAGAGCTGATTTCATCAATGCATCACACTTGGGGTCTAGCTGTAATGGTTTCAGGGATATAAAGTGTTCAAAATCGAGATTTTTCAACTTAAACATTTTTTTGTGTCGAAACCATTTATTATTGGTCAAAACGGCTCTCATGTCCCTATCTCAACTTGTGATTTACTATCTACTGACATTTATTTGAAACAAATACAGGGTGGTTCAAGATTCAAAATTCTGATCACCCTGTATCTGTTCCAATTGAATGTTAGTAGATATTGAATCACAAGTTGAGATAGGGACATGGGAGTCGTTTTGACCAATAATGAATAGTTTCGACACAAAAAAATGTTGAAGTTGAAAAATCTCGATTTTGAACACTTTATTTCCCTGAAACCATTACAGCTAGACCCCAAGTGTGATGCATTGATGAAATCAGCTCTTCGGGGAGAATCTAAAAATGCAATAAAATACAAGGTGTTCCATTTGAAATAACAAAGTTGTTGCTTCTTTTCGTTAGCAGCGGCAACGCCGCAGGGCTGAAAATATTGTAGAACGATGTCCCCCTCGAAAATGTAGTTGACGTGTTTCAGATTTTTTTCATAATCCGGTTTTGGCGACCTACAGAGCCTCTGTTTCGTTTTCAAAGGCCTACTCTGTATAGGTGTTTTCAAGACTTCCATTGAGATTGAGATTACTTAATAATCACAATTAGAATCATTTTGAAATTTTGAGGCATTCTCAGACTCCATTCATACTGACTTTTGGCACCATGAAAGCTTATACAGGGTGGTTATAAATAAAAACAATTTATACTTTCAACTTCAACATCCTGTATCTCAAAAACGGAGCAAGTTAGGACACATGTTTATTTATATGAACTTTATTTGCTAGAATGTCACAAGGAATCACCCCTTGAATTTTTTCGGTGTTATTTAGATACACCCTGTATAATACCATTGTTAATGATCCAAATGTTATCAACTCAGGTGTTCTCTTCTGCTCTTGGGTATAAATACACGGTAGTGAATGTTGGAGATATAAACGAGTAGAGAGACCCTCAAACAAGTTTGTATTTATTTCTTGATAAAAGGCGTTTCATTTTTAGGACACACCAGATCTTGGGGTGTAGCACATCCAGAGGTGCTCACAGCTTGTGGCGGCAATCTGGCTGGGGAATATGGCCCCATGGACCCGTCAAAGGTGGAAACATATAATTTACTTGCCGGACTGCTTGGAGAAGTTTCAGAAACTTTCCCAGATCAATATATTCATCTTGGAGGCGACGAAGTGGATTTCGACTGTTGGTGAGTTCGGTCACCAATATTCAACAATTTTGACCAAGAAATAGGTTATGTGGACATAAACATATATGTGTGCGCCCACCCCTGTGAAACCTTCAAGTTATTATCGATCTTGATTTTTTTTTTGTGATATTGGTTTTGAAATGCATCAGTTTTGGGCAGATATCGTGGTAAGACCCTATAGCACTCGACGTTCCGATTTAGGTCTGAACGTCCGGGACCTTTTCAAGACGTACTGAAAACGTCAATTTCTAGACGTACTGAGTACGTACGATTCCGATGTACTGAGCTCGTTCAACTCTGGACGTTATCGACTTTTTGTGGACGGGATCGAATAAATTGTATAATGAAAATTTAAATCATTGCATAGTATTTCTACCCTCGATCTCTGATTTCTATTCATGTAGGAACCTTGCAAACATGAAAATAATACAATTATCACGATTCATTTTTCACTGGTCGTGCCTAATCACAAAACATCTATTTAGATATTCTCTGCCGTGATCAGCTAATTCTATGAAACTATCAATGTGAAGGGTCAATCGACATTCGCACCTAATCTCTTATTGTTGTACCTAAAGGTCCTCGGATCGATCCTCGGTAAGAGCGCATTTTTTCAATTTTTTTATTTTGGATAAGATCTTTTCTCCAGTAGCCCTTTTTTTATTTGGACTTCTCTAGAGCCTTCGACAAGGTACCCAGGAATAAGCTTGTCTTCAAGCTCGAACATTTTGGAGTTCGGAGTGATAGATGGATTCCTCAGCAACAGGAGGATCAGAGTCAGGGTTGGTTCGTCATTTTCAAATTACCACGATGTTCTATCAGGGGTGCCACAGGGATCTGTCCTTGGACCGACGTTGTTCCTATTATATGCCTCTGACTTACAAAATGTAATCTCTTCGGACCATTCTTTTTTCGCCGATGACAGAATTTTTTTGGAAATCCAGCTACCAGTCGTGCTCAGCTCCAAACCGATCTCGCTTCGCTAGAACAATGGTGCCCCGACTGAGACATCCCCCTGAATGACAGCAAATGTTGTGTACTACATCTTGGCAATAACAATCCATTTCACAACTACCGTTTATTCAACAATACAGTGCCGTCCGTGGACGAGCAACGTGATCTAGGTATCACCATCAACAAAAAACTCCTGGTCGGGTCATGTAACAGATATTGTACACAAAGCAAACAGTCGCATTTTTCTACTGCGCAAGTGTTTCACCAATCCTAGTCCACTACTATTTGGTCAACTATACAAGTCGTATATACGTCCTCTACTATTTTTTTTGTGAGAGGAGAAAGGAAGAATCACTATTGAGAAGATATTACATTGTATTAAAATCAGAAAATGATCGAAGTGAAATTCGAAGTTTTCAACAGGAATTACACCTGCATTGCAGGAATCTTTTTGCAGACAACTTCATGATTCTTTTGAAGTAATCAAATATCTGTCAGTCTAATTCTGTGATTAAAATTTCGAATGTAGTGGTTGTCTAGTAATTTACGTAACCGCGAAGTCGAATGGAAGATAAAAGGACTTGCAGTTCTTTCTCGGAGACGATTTTATGGCTGGCTCATTTTTCGGAACTATATGATATATATCCGGGAAAAAGTACTAACTTTCTTTCCGAGGAAATAAGTAATTTATGATAAATGACATTTCATAACCTGTCAACAGAGATGAAATTTAGAACTTTTTCCCGTCAAATAAAAATAAATCATTTCCAAAAATGGCATACCGTTTGCGCTTATCCAATAAGTACGCACCTAAAAACCTTTAAAAACATGCTTTAATGCAGGAGAACCCGGGGGGATTCTTTCATGTATCATTTTTTAACATCAAATTATATACATAATGATACCCTCCAGAAGGCATACTTACTTGAAAAAAAAAATATCAATATCAACCAATAAATGAAGATATACAATGGTGGTAAGATTTTTTTTTCAATTTCAAGGGAAAGTAACGCCAATATCTCGAAGTTCATGAAAAAGGAAAACATTACTGATTACAAAGGATTGGAGAGTTATTTCGTCCAAAGAGTCATAAACATAGTCGACGCTCTCAAAGCTAAATCAATAGTATGGGAGGAAGTGTTCGAGAATGGAGTCAAGTTACCAACAGAAACTATTGTTCAAGTGTGGAAAGGCCCTTGGGAACAGACGATGAGTGAGGTAAATTCGCCAAATATCCTTTGTCCCATTCCTGTATATGGTTTCCACATGATTTATTAAAATATACTATATGTGTTTTCCTACGACTACTATTGTAAATGATGAATATTGTACACAAGACAATGTCAGTAAGCTCCTCCTTACACAGTATGTGTAAAGCAAGCGATCGCATGGTTTTCATAGGTATGTTGATGGATGACTTTTGTTGCTTAGGCGATGTGTCATTTTCTGTTAATATCAGTAGCTAGGTCTACAGGGTGTCTCAGGTCTAACTCATCCAACTTTGACAATCGATAGCAAAAATTAAAATATTAGATACGTATTTTTTTGTTTTGTCGTGGAGAAACTTGTTTTCACTATACGAGGTGTTATTTTTTGTCTCAGTTGAAATGAAACCTAGCGATTTGAAATTAGGTGATCCATTTTCTATCGGCAATATAAACAGTCCAGTATCAGGATCAGATTAGGATAGTAACAACATAGTAGTAGTAGTGGAATAAATATGTGTATGATTAAGAAGTTCTGAGACCAGCATCACGTCGTGGTGATTTGGAATTATTTTCCAAATAGCGTCGAAAACAGAGTTAATAATAAGTAAGATCAGAATGTGAACTCTTTGAAAAAAGCCTTTGAAAAAAAAACGGTCGGTAAATTGGTTCCGGGTCACCCGGTAGGTATATAGTAACTTTTATATTCTACGGCCTATAATAGGTGCCTCACCTCCGAAAATACCATATAAATGTTATATATAATATGTAATTTTGAACCAAAACTGACAGAAAGTTAGGTTAGATTGGCAGGGGGTTCCAGTTCCCCGAAGAAATCATATAGTGTGAGTGTTCCTGCCGGAGAGCTGGGTCTGCATCACAGATCGACTGGTGACTTTTTTCATAGGTATTTTTTAAGTTCTGATATTTTTTAAAATTTCAATAGTTGGTTTTCAGTACTTTTCTGGGTAAATAAGCTGTTTTGTAGATTTCATTGCGATATTTGATTGTGAATACAACAGTGAGTAAGGTGAGTATTCATGAAAATTAAAATTCAATCACAAAGGGGTCAAGGAATTGAGAATTTTCCATATGAAAAGTTATTAAATCGGGTCGTGTCTCTTATTGATGTTCGGAAATATAAGTGAGAGTGACAGGTCCGGATTGCACACGCTTTGATTTTATGGTATTAGCGGTCCAGTTAGTAATGCATGTCGATCGATGAGTGTGTCCCACTTACCTCATCTTACTCCATATCAAATCCTTCTGCAGACACTAAACTCAAACAGTTCCTCTTTGTCAACATTTTGCAAATTTTCCAGGTAACCCTTTCAGGGAAAACCGCAATCCTGTCATCCTGCTGGTACCTCGACCACCTGGACAGCTACGGCGACTGGCAAAAGTTCTATAATTGCGAACCTTACAACTTCACGGGTGTGGATAGCCAGAAGAAGCTGGTCCTAGGAGGCGAAGCCTGCATGTGGGCGGAAGTCGTCAACGAATTCAACGTCATCTCGAGGGTGTGGCCTAGGGCTAGCGCAGCCGCAGAGAAACTGTGGTCCGCGGAGAACGTGACGGATATCAAGGAGGCCACTTTGAGGCTAGAGGAGCACGTGTGCAGGATGAACAGGAGAGGGATCGGCGCCCAACCGCCAAGTGGGCCCGGATTCTGTCCATGATTCGGGGGTATTCAAGTTCCGGAAGTTATTCAGACTTCTAGATTTTAGAGAAAAATGTTTTGGGCCATGCATCACCTGTAATAAAACATAAGCTTAATAAAGTTTCTTCATTTATTGGGTTTATTTTGCATCATAGAGTAGGCCTAGTCAAATCAAATCTGACTGGAGAGGAATGGGAAGGGATTCAGGAATTTCAGGATCCCCTGAAAAATCACAGTGAGGAGGTGAGGTGCCAACCGGCTGCTCGTTCAAATCAGCGGCATGCATACAATAGAAGCATTAAGGCATTGCCTCCCCCAGAAAAATTCAAATTATGGATACAGTTTTTTCACAATTTTCCTTTGCGGATACATTTATATTTTTTTATAAAAATAGATCTACTATATGTCTGAGTACTCTCACAACTCATAATAATGCAATACAATCCGTAAAACCTAATATAATCCACCCGCTGCGCCGCCGCTACTGGCGCTCTACTCTGTATAAGAATATAGCATCCCATTTTAAATAAAAGCAAAGCAATTGCGCTGATCAATAGAAATTCATATTGAGCGAAAAAGCCTCGGGAAAAGCATTGCTTTCGACCCGCAAGCCATCGACACTCGAGCCGTGGCGACGCAGAACGGTGTGCCAATTTCCACCGGCCGGAAACCCAAGCGAATACGAACAATAATATATAAGAGGGCATACGGAAGACGGTCAGAAACTCGATGTTGCCAGGTGTGGCGGTTTATCGCATTTGAGGCTAATTTTTTTGGTGAAGTGCGACATTAAATTGGAGTTGGCGACTGGCGACAATTGTGGTAACATCCTGAAATTTACAGGAGAGATTTATTGGCGACATGTGATAATGCGACAATCATTGGTACCATTCGCAATCCAGTTTTGTAATTGTAAATAGGCAACATGTCAGGATTTACTACGGAAACGGCGAACGGCTCAATGTATCGGATCATTGAATCCAAGTTCAATCCCTTATATGAATAGGCTTTGATATCATGGCATTAGCGGTCCAGTTAGTAATTTATGTTTGGTGTGTCCCTCTTACCTAGCCTTACTCCGTATCAAACCCTTCTGCAGACACTAAACTCAAACAGTTCCTCTTTATCAACATTTTGCAAAATTTTCTAGGTAACCCTTTCAGGGAAAACCGCCATCCTGTCAGCCTGCTGGTACCTCGACGACGTAGCCAGCAATGGCGACTGGCAAAAGTTCTATGACTGCGAACCTTACAACTTCACAGGTGTGGACAGCCAGAAGAAGCTGGTCCTAGGAGGCGAAGCCTGCATGTGGGCGGAAGTCGTCAACGAATTCAACGTCATTTCGAGGGTGTGGCCTAGGGCTAGCGCTGCCGCAGAGAAACTGTGGTCCGCGGAGAACGTGACGGATATCAAAGAGGCCACTCTGAGGCTGGAGGAGCACGTGTGTAGGATGAACAGGAGAGGGGTCGGCGCCCAACCGCCAAGTGGGCCCGGATTCTGTCCGTGATTCGGGGGTATCCTAGTTACCGAAGACTCATTCTAGATTTTAGAGAAAATGTTTTGCATCACCTATAACAAAACACCAAAACAGTAAGCTTAATAAATTGAGTTTATTCAATTATTGGGTTTACTTTCCATCATAGAGTAGTTAGATCAGAATCTATAAATCACATAATTCACTTGTCTTACCTATGATAGCTATTTATTTATTTATTGAGGGAGCAAAAAGTTATCCATTTCTTCCTGTGTGAGGGTGCTGAAATGAACCTTTGCTGACACTGTGGTATACATAGGATATTTTAGTATGTATATTTTTCCCATACACAAAAACCTGAAAGCCTATAATTCTTTAAACTGTGCTCAATCATTTTGTCTCTGGATCCGAATCAAAATGCCAGTATATGCGACTGAACAGAAATCAACATGATACATCTGCTATCATAAATTCCTCTAATTATTGTATATTGTGTAATTGCATTTGAAAGTTTTGAGCAAGTACTTTTGAAATATGAGAAAGAAGGAAATAGTTATGTGTCTCATAGTCATAATAGTGATGAAGACACTGGTTATAGGTACTTGGATTGCACAGATCTTTTAGATGTATATTGACAACAATGGAGCATTCTGATGTCAATTCATTTCACCTCCCACAGAAGGTAATATTTTGTTTCTTTCCGAGGGAGTTGTAGTAGTAGTAGGTGGGGAGGCTGTAGCCAAGCAAGTAGGCCACGATGGGCCCTATTTGCTAACCCCTGCTTTGGAGGGAGTTACTTGTCAGGTATGTTCCCTTCAATGAGGTAGCAAAGGCATACTTTCAATTGAGTTGATAAAATAAGTTAAATTGATATTCTTGAAGAGTCCACCACTCTTCATTTTCAATTCCAAACATGCAAACTGACATTAGCCAGCAAATGGACTATGAAGAAGCATGTCCCTGCATCTTTTGTGCAAGATTCAATTCGGATGTGGCTGAAATATTTTTCATGCATAATACCCAAACTTTCAAATTTGTACAGCATTTATAGGTATATACAACTTGCTCAGCATAGGTTCAGAAAAATATGCTTCTAATTTAAAATTCAACTGATATATTTTTTCTTATGTAGCAACAATATATTTAGAAGTTTTATACATTTCATAGGCAAAGTCCTCCCTGTGGTTAGGATCAAACTCTAATCCAATATAATCAATTTCTAATGAAAATTCACCCCCATGTCTCTCTCCAGCAGTTATACCAAAACTAGTTATTTTATTCAAAGGGATTGATTCCTGTCTATCTTGAATACGTCCTTTGGATGCAAAATAGAATTTAGAAAATGGAATCTAAAAATATAATACCTTTCAAATCAAATTCAGGTAGATATATTGATAATGTTTTACCCTTGCTACTTGCCAGTATGGCCCTCCTCTTGTAAAGAGCACATAGTGGTACATATCATTCCAAGTTATATCATAGTAACCTCTTGTATGTATATTTAATAAATATGACCTTCCATCGCCCCTAACTCTCATAACCAACATATTATAACTTGTCCAATCTAAATGGGCATCCCTTCTGAAAGATTTCTGCAAAAAGTACAAGCAATAGTACAAGTAATCAATAATGAAATAAGTGAAAGCAGTGTACCTACTCTTGCTCTTGTAGTTTTAATATTACAATAGCCAGACCTTTTCACTCGGCCATCCTTAGGAGCTCTTGTAGATAATTCTCCAGAAAATATCCCTTTTCCTCCACTTGTTAACGTCAACGAACAATTACTATGCCCCTCATTGTTATCACTATCTGCCGTAACAATCCATTTCTTCAAAGATTCTGTATCATTGAACTGCCACTGAACATCAACCTCTCCAGGTCTGAAAATCAAGAGGGGGTCAGATTCCAGTCTTTCTTTCATCTCTTCTTTCCACAAAGCAATTTCATGTTTCAGTTCTTTAATTCCACCTCTCATTCGTTCCTTCAAAGAAGGGTATTGTCGATTATCTTTGTATCCTCCTTTGTCATCCTTTTCCCAAAAAGTCTTTAGGCAAGGAGACGTCCTGATGTATCGCACTGGACATTGTTTACATAAATTACATATAAGTTTATAAGATGACAACATTATTTTGTAATCTTATATTTCATTACAATTTAAATCATAATCCAAGCAGACGTGAAACCATTGTCGTGAAACAAAACAACTCATAACCCCGACACTTAACATAACACATAACCCCGATTAAATATCTTCTCTTTCAATGGCATTTGAAACCAAAACCATGGTACTGTGTCGCGGCAGCTACATATGAATCGTGAATCTTAACCTTTTTTAAAGTATACAATTATGGAGTATGGAGTCAAAAGGTAACCCTTGAAAAAAAAAAGAAGAAAGCTGACGTGTTTTCTTAACCTCTAATTTGAAAAAAATTTAGTTTTCCAAACGTTATTTCATTTGTATTACGTTCCTCAGATAAATATTAAAATATTATTCATTTTTTACTTCTGAATACAATAAACAAGGCATGCAGGAATCTAAATACCACACAGAATCATGTGAATAAAAAATACTTCTTATTCGGAGATAGGTCTCAACACTTCACAGATTAGTACTTTGAGGGTATTCCTTCGAATTCCAGGATGAACATTTCATGGTGAGGAAGTCTTTGAAATGAGTTCACTGTATCTATTCACAAAAAACTGGAACCGCTTCAGTTTTTTTCACAACAAAAGTTCCCTTCTAAAACAAGTATCTTGTTTTGTACCACTACTAGAACACAGAATATATCTTTACTCTAACAATCAGAATAATGCAGATGAAAAGGTATCAAGTGGTAAAATTATATCTAAAGATTTAAAAAGTATTTATGACCATAATAAGAACAAGTTAAGGAACACTGAACAAAGATTGAGAGACAGAGGAACTTTTATCATACAAGATATAAAAGAAACTAGGGATAAGGTTAAAGAAAAAGTGGAAGAAGTGATAGAGGTAAGTGTATATACTTATAAGTTTGAAATTCCCAATCTACTGGATTTACTTGCAGAGAGAAAATGTATATACAATTCCCAATTTACTTTGTATCACAAGAATATTGTTGTCTCCATATCTTGGTGTGCTGATAGTCCAATCAGAGTTTGATTATGCTCTGGCCATTTTAGTAATTGCAGGTGCAACAGATGTAGTAAGCATCCATATGAAGTTCTAATTTTCTAATACAGTTATTCTAATGTTGATTTCTCCTTCAATTGACCAAGAACATAGTCAAAACTCTTCTTAATTTTACAGTTTGATGGATGGATAGCCAGAACATGGAGAAGTCAATCTTCCAAAATGGGAAGTTTTCTTGATCCAATTGCTGACAAAGTCTTGATTGCTACACTATTCTTGACATTAACATATGTAGATCTAATACCAATGGTTCTCACTGGTTTGATCATTGCTAGAGATGTCTTGCTAGTTACAGCTGGATTCATAATAAGATATCTTTCTCTTCCACCTCCGGTATGTTGAAAGAATATTCACAATAGGTATAAAAGTAACTGTGTTTTCATTGTCTAGCGTACTCTAAGTAGATACTTTGATGTTACTCATGCAACTGCTCAGTTAGCCCCCACTCTAATTAGTAAGATCAACACTGCAGTTCAGTTATTACTTGTGGGTTCCACATTGGCAGCACCAGTTTTCCACTATGTTGGCCATCCAGCTTTAGAATGTTTATGGTAACAACTATCATATATCTCATTAGTAGCTGCCAATTGATATTTTTCATTTTATATGAATTTCAGGTATGTTACTGGAGTTTCAACAGTAGCAGCTGGACTGAGTTACATGTTATCCAAAAATACATATAGGATATTCAAAAAACATAAACCCAATTAATAGTTTCTAATTATTGTTTTGTTATAAAAATATATGCATATTTCAGAAATTGTGGGATCAAATTTCTAGTATATGATTTATGTGCCCCACAATCCCACCAGGTCATGTTTTCTCTGAGTTAACTCTACATATTTAGTGCATGGTGATTAGTTTCCTGAATGACAAAAACTCATCAATTACTGGAAAATATATATATAAAATTAGTGTTGTATCCAAAAATGGTGGTGCAATTGTATAACAAATACATGAACTAAGCAGAAACATAACTAAAAACATAACAAATAACATAGGTATCATTAAAAACATACTGGTCAAAAAAATATTCAGAATTGAGGGAAACAAACAGATTTTACAAAAATATCTTACAAAAATCACAAATCATTCGTTGCCATTTTTATAGAAAAAAATGGCATTTCAAATTAATAGCATGTGATGGAAAAATGTCAGGTACCTGCTATAATGTAATACAACAAAAAATGTTTTTCAAGAGGGATAAATTTCACCTAATAGGTAAGTAAAATCTTGATATATTAGAGGTAGTTGGTAACACATTTCATAATCAGAAGAGATTTCAATCAGACTCACTGTCACTCTGAATCCTTGGTTTCTTTGTTTTTTTCTTGTCTTTTGGAACACTGGAACTTTCGCCACCAAAATCATATTTTGCCTTGAGTCTCTCACGGATGAATAACCCTTTTATGAGTTTTCTCCAATTACCATATACTCTCTTCTCAATTTTTTCATTCTCTTTCTTCTCAATCTCATCTTGTTCCTGAACAAAAGTATAGAATCATACATTCAAATAATCATAAAACATGACAACAAAAATAGACATTTTGAATTGATTGAATGGATTTTGGAATATTATTCACATTTAAATGCCTGTGAAAACAAATTTCTTATTCATTGAAAATATTTTTGGAGATTGATGCATACCAGTTCCCATGCTGCAATTACTTGATCAGTGAATTCCTCACAAACGACGAACCCATCATAGGTAGGATGACTCCATCCACCATGGAAATCAAATCCAACAATAGCACTTGCACAGTCTATATTCAGTTTTCTACAAACCTTGTTAAGACCAGCCACTAAAAAAAAAAGAATTTTATCTCTAATAGACAAATCAGACAACCTTTACATTTTAGGTGAACAGTTCCTTTAGGAAGCATGCATGGTTTGAACAACTCAACATTGCCAAAAGCATTCCTAGGAACAACGCCATTTTGTGCAGTAGGTGGTTCATACTCCGTAGTTTGCCATGGACCAAATATTTCCAACAGTTGATCTGTTATCATTTTGTTGGATAGCTGAAACAAAAAAACAAATATATCAACAATGGCATCAGGATAACACGATAATTCTCCTCATGAATGAAACCTGAGATTGAACAATGAACAATAGTTTTTTCCTTGAAGCATTAAACCAACTAACATTTTCCATTCTGGAATAGACAAACTTACTTTATCATATTTTGGTCTGGCTTTGACGATTTTATATGGTTTTTCTCCAGGTTTCACAACTCTGGCATCTTTCAGCCAAATATCCCTGGACTTGCAAACATAAACACAGTTTCTTGGATAAACTGCTTCTTTCCTTACAAACCCAATTGGTGCGATATCGGCTGGGTAAATATCTTCAAACTTGAGTAAATGTCTTCTGAGTGCATATAAAGGATGGTTCTTATACCTGAAAAATTGAATGAATCTCAACCTGAACTATTGAATACTCTCTACTTTAGGCATCATTTTGATCATATATTATGAAGTGTGTGCCACAAGGGACTGTTCTAGGCCCGATTTTGTTTTCCATATATGTAAATAGTCTGACCACATTATTAAATGATGGTGACATGGTCTTATGCTGACGATACCGTCATCAGGTAACAGTCATGGGACATAAGTCTCAAAAAAGCGGAACCGGCTATGGCAAAAGTTAAAGAGTGGTTGGAGGCATACCTTCTCACCTTAAATACTGAAAAAACCACTTCATCTGTTTCTCAAAACACCATTAAAAAAAACACTTTAATAATCCATGAGAATGCATGCCAGTTTGATGATAACTGTAATTGCAATTCATTAATTAAACGAGAGGAAAGGAAATAGCTTGGTATATACATAGATGTTATTATTATACATCCAACAAGATAAGAAAACTCATGTGTAAATTTTATCAACTGAAACAAAATTTTTCCTTTGAAAACTCTGGAAGTAATTTATTTAGCACTCGCAGAGTGGAATTATTATTTGGGGAGCCGCATGTTCAACAATATTGTCATCACTATGTATATCTCAAAAATATCTATTAAAAACCATGCTTGGGAAAAAAAGAACGTTTCCTTCAGAACAACTATTCTATGATGCGGAAGTTCTGGCAATTACGCAGTTATTTGTAAAAGCAACTATTAGATTCATATTGAAAAATACTCAATATAAAAAAATAATTTCTCACAATACCACTAGAGCAGCACAGAATAAAAATGTGACAATACCAATCAATAGATTCTCAGCCACCCAAAAACATATCTCCTATATTGGTCCAAAACTATTCAACCTGCTGTTACCAGTAGAAATCAAAGGTAAACCATATAAAGATGTGAAAGAAAATATCCTTCAATGGATAGTCTTGAATAATATAACATATAATATATGTATAATAGAACATATCATTAAAAAAGGGCATATTCTGTATGCTAAAAGGCATCGAAAACACAAGTTCCATACCACTTGGGTCATCTGGTCATCTCACTATTTATCATTCACCTATTGTACTGTTCTTCAAGACTCGGCTTGAATACCAAATCTCGGTTTTATACATATTTTTGAGTATTTTTTTGAAATTTTCATTTAGACCATGAACTTGAACTGAAATTCATTGTATTTTATATGTGAAATTGTGAAAACACTAGCTCTTATGTGAACAAACTGTTGGTACACACACAAATTGAAAAAATTTATAGTGTATCACAATGGAAATGTAAAGGGAACTGTTTTTAACTTGGTAATATATAAATTTTCAAATTTTCAAGAAACAAGGTATATGTTGGGTGGAAGGGTGTCCTAAATTGATATGTTTTTTGAGATACAGAATGTTCAAGTTGGAAATATTGATGAATTCTTCTTCATGATCTCTCAGTTAAGACATTTTTAATGGCAAATTTCAGTCTGGTTGGAAATGACAAATTCTCAAATGTATTTTTTTAATCAACTATATATTGTTTGACTCACTCAGAAATAGCTGTTGGTAATGGTTGATCTAGTTGCTGGCGATTCAGATCATCGTCCTCTTCCCTGTCTCTTGCTGTCCTCTTGCCTCTAAAGGGCTTCAAAGATTCTTCCCACCACTTTTCATCGACCCTCAACTTTCTAGTGATTGTATTGAAATTTTTGCAGTACCTTCTAGTAACGTCTTTTAGGGTATTGTCATTATTCCATGCCAATATGTAGGACACTGGATGTGTAGCTCGTGACTAAATGGAAATATCTTATGACCATTAAATCTATATTCGAGGATATGTTAATTTGAAATGAAATGTTTGATACATCATGCACGAAATCTGTTTGTAGTAAAGACATGCCGCCGTTTGGCGATACGTCGAATAAATGGTGACGTCAGTGTTTATGCTGTTTCGTTGTTGGTCAGATAATCTTCCATTCCCACTCATGAAGCAAAGTTGCCAAGTCACCAAATACAATCAAGTTATCAAAAATATGTTAAGAGTCCTGTCCTGTCGTTGAATAAAATATAATCATTCTGAAATTTTTTGAGCAACCAGATTGTCCAAATATTTCTCATACTCCATAACAAAACATCATGTAAATGTTAGAGACTTGGCAACATTGTGCTGAATGCTGAGAACTGAGACCACGCCCACAATTCGTGCGCCGTGGTATGTCACTTTCACCGATTCAAATGTCCTCTAGTGTGAATTAATATAATTATTATTTACACAAAGTTATTATGAGCAATAAGCCACAACACATGAGGGAACATTTTGAGAAAATTGATTTTTTATTGCTAATAAGGAATATTACCATGCAATACATAATTGAGATTTTATGAATTATTGACAACCAACTTATTAATTCGGCAACCCTATAATATATGAACTATCGAATGCCAAAGATCGAAGCTCATTAATTTACTATATCCAACGTGGTTCAATGGAGCAGGCGCATTCAGGACTTGTCATGTATCTTATAGCATATTCGACTGGCTGCACTATTGCGCATCCAATTCCAACTTTTGTCGTGCGTGTGTGTACCTCTGGTATGCACTCAGACAGTAGGTACCAATATTATTTCTATTCAGCTGAACAGGCACTTCTCAAGGGTAGAGCTGAATTTATGTTCGACTAGTGAAAGCGTTCGTTGTTAATTCTCATATTTTTTGACACAATAATTTTTTACGGTGCCAAAGTAACAAACTGAAAAATGCTGAAAGATATTGGGTGTTTATTTACATTGTTATGTTCAAATTTCCAAATGAATGTAATAAAACTATCAGCAATTGATTTCCTATTGTCGAGCAATAGTTGGTATAGTAGCTTATAGTAGCGAAGACGATAGCAATAGGTAATGATATTTCCGAATTCATAAAATCGAAGTAGGGTGGAACGGACAGCAGAAAATCAATAATACCCCGAAATTGCAATTAAATATTGGAATACGAGGTATTTGTAGCAAATGACAAAATTGCATTATACCCTTGATTATACCTACTATACACCATCAAAACCGCTGATTATTCACAGAATATTTCCATACTTATTGTGACGCCAATAATAATTGTTCTCTCCATACTTCGAAATTTGAGAAATAATTTGACAATTTGTTGATTTCAAAGTAAGATCTTTGATTAGATCTAGCTTCAGCAATAATTGCTAGTTTATAGATTTATGTAGTCGTACAAATAAATGAAGCAGAAGATTGCATGTATTAAACGTTGTTCGAGATTAATATCACTTTCTCGAGAATAAGAAATAAGCTTTAATTATTCCG